GGCTCAGGCAATCCACTCACCTCAGCCTCCCAAAGGTGCGGGATTACAGGCTGAGCCACCGAACCCAGCAACTATTTTCATTTGATTAATTTTTACCTTTCAACAATTGTAACCATTTTAATGTTATTTGTTTTTATGAGCCCTAGGAAGAAGCAACACCAGAAAAATGTTCTGTCACTTGCTTTAGTCACAAATAACATAAAGATCCCCTCATTTAATTTTATTCCTTTTCCCTTTTTACCATCATAAAAAATGCAGATGAACTCCTTCAGTCAAGATCACCTCCTCAGGTAAAGCTGGTCCCACACCTAAATGTACTTTTCTCATTATTTTACTAGAATTGTATGGCGGCTTCTGTTCCTCTTCAGTCCACGATGGCCACCTCCCCCCTTTGCCCCCCACCAGTTGCTGAAAGTGTTGACTGCTCACTGCTTACTTCCTCTCTGGGAATTGCCTTCTCCTGAGGAAAGCAACCTGGCCTAAGGTGATGTTCCCTCCTGAACAGCATCCTGAATCTGATGGCTGGTTGATGTAGGGTACAAAGGCCCAGCCCTCACAAGACCCACTGAGCCTTCTTGTGACAATTGCACTGAAGTTCAACTTCCGCCTCTGCCCAACTGTGCTGCCCTTACACTCTTACAGATGTTGTCCTGAGAGTTTTCCCAGCAAACCTCCCACATACAAATTTCTGCCACAAGTCTATTTCCTGGGATCAGAAAAATGGCAAGCTTAAACAAACTATACCAGCAAAAGTGACATATGTGTTCTTTGTCAGTTCTGAAAAATGAACAGAAAAGTCAGAAAAGGCCTCAATGCATCCATCTTTCAAGCGGGATTCAGCATTGCTGAATATTTGCATGAGGCAAGGAGACTTGCCCAGAGATATGGGAAACCATAACGTTTCAAGAATAGGAGAAATATGGTGTAGCTCCAGACCGCCACCATGGTCCTCCCATGTAGTAGCTGCCATCCATGGTGGAGAGAGAGTCACATGTATTGCTACCTACTCCTTTCCAACTTTCTATTTTGAATGACTGGGAAACTATAACCATTATTATTCTCTTAAGAAGATTCTTGATGATATTCTTATGATTTCCCACTGCTATAATTTCCTCATTTTTTTTTCATTCTATTCTATTTCCATCCCTCCTCATACTCCTCTTACTTTTCTGCTTTATTTTATTTACCTACCTAGAAAATTTCTTGAGCTTAGCTCCAAGTGGAAAAAGTTGCTGTCATTAAGCCTGAGAGCCTTTGATGAGAATAATAGGAGGAAGGACTGATTCTTATTTTAGGTCTTTTTTTCCCTTTAGGTTTTCTGAATGGCTTCTTGGTTCCAAATAATCATCCTCGGAGGTTTTTATGCAAAGACACGTGAATTCCTGTCCCACTGAGGAGTTCGGTATGCTGAAATGCTTACCACCCACTGGCAGACTTTGTATCAGAGCTTTGAGTTACTCTTGTGTGAGGCTGGGGCCCATGCTTCCCAGAACTGTATCTATTTTCTTGATATCAACTGTCCCTCCTGAGAGAGACGGGCATAGAAGCAAAATGTAAGGACTCCAGAAAAAGGACAAAACTATTCATTCTTGTATATTATTATTATCATTTCCAGCATAAGAACTGAGACCCCAAACCAATAAATCTGATAAAAATAACACAGAGAATCAATAATGGACCTAATAATTGAAACCTTGCATAAACCTAGATTCAAGGATTAATCTACAAAGCATCAGGTTTTAAAGGGTTTAGATGAGTTGCATAGTCTGTTCACTAGTGGAAATGACAATTCTTATATATATTTTTTAGCCAATAAGTACAGTATATTTTTGTTAACTCAATCTTCAGATTATCTCTACCAATGACCAAATTCCCTGCATCACTGAAACAGTCTTTACTGTTACAAATGTAAACTTCATTCATTTTTTCCCCCAACTACATACATTTCCTATAGAGCACAGGACTTCTTTCAGAGACACAAAAATTTTTTTAAAAATAGCAAAATACACATGGAAGAGAGTATGAAATCAATATATTTGATCAATGACAATATTTACAACTTAGTGACTAGGGAATAGTAAAAACAGAAAAAGTGACTGATCCCTCATCCATCTGTATTTCATCATGATTCTCACTCACGTTTGAGAAGCTTCCAGCACTCATCAGCTGATTGTGATAGGTCTTTCCACCTGCTGCAAGAAATTGTACAACTCAGGTCACAGCCATATTATGTAGAGATTTGCTAACATACAAAATCTAGAATTTTAAAAAAGACGTATTTGAATGTTTGCACTGGAAAAGTCCAAGTAAAGACAATAAAAATAAAGACTGGAGAAAATCCTTAATACTGACATTCTGCCTACTCGTGAGCAATAGAGGCAGTTACTGCAGGCTAACTTCCATGCTGAAACATTTCTGTCTCCCTCTTTTATTGATCTATTTCTTCACTTCCGGTATGTGCATCCCTCTTTTTGTTTCTTCTATTTACATAATTTTTTGGCTTCTCAATGAAAACCCTAAGTGATGATGTGAATATTTTCCCCTGATGGCAGCATTCGTGACTGCTGTATTTGCTAATCCCAAATGGAGACAGAACTTCTTTTTAACACAGATTAGGATCATACAAAGTATTTGGAGACACACATTCTTTCTCCCATGATCAAACAGACATAATTTTTAGACTTTTCATAAACATAATACTAAGTTCCCTCAAAGGCTGTTCCTGTGTTTTAAATCCTCACCACCGACTGGCAGGTTTTTCAATTGCTTCAATCTCTCCTTTTCTGGGAGGCCTAGTCCCATATTTCCCACAACATCTTCCACACCACTGATATCAATTGCTTCTCCTTGAAAAACACAAAGGGGAATCACACTTGAACTTTAAGGATGACCTAATTAGAAAACACGAAAGCAATCATCTGTCTGTTCCACACACACGTCACTGCTTCATGAAGAGTAGGGTGTGGCATATCCAAACACACCATCAACACCAGGCATGTAAATAGACCCCTTTCTTGAACTCCAGTGAAACCATGTCATAACTATGTCATAGTGATAAAAATTAGACAACACAGTTACAACATGATGTCTACTCTCAACATGTAAGAAAATGAGGCTTACATAATTTCCCAGTGAACTAGAATTTCATTCGGACCGATCCAAATCATTCTGTCACGAGACGGTGGTTCTGATTATCTTCAAATATTGCTCATAACGTTACCAGTGCTTTATTTTATCACTTATTGATTCAATTTAAAATTTGTTTTTGCCCTTACATAAGAATATATTACTGACAAGTTCAATAAACCAAGAATTTGTTGCTAAGGCACATTTTATAAAACAAAATATAAAATGACAAGACAAAAGGGAATAAATTTTTTAAATATAAATTTGAGTAAAATTTGTACTCTTAGATTTGTATTAAGTTTTCACCTGTTAAAGTTTTCATTCTATCCCTCAATTTATCAAGATCAAACTTCCCATTCGCTACAAGAAAAGATAAAAATAATTATAGAATGACCCAGACTCAGAAAAACAAACAATGAAGGCTCTATACTGTGGTTGTCTACAGCTGCCCACTGGTGCCCATGTCAGCCTTCAACTCACAAATCTTGGACTTCAGAGATCCTGTAACCGCCTATAATACAATAAGTGCCCTATTCCTTAGGTCAGAGTTTGGGAAAGGATCCATTGGGCAAACCCAAAGGACTGTTCTTGTGTTGGCCATGAGCTAAGACTTATTTTACATTTGTAACTGATTGAAACACTCAAAATAATATTTGTCTCATAGAAACATTAAAAGAAGTTCAAGTTTTAGTATCAGTAAATAAGGCTTTATTGGAACACAGACAGATACATTCTTTTATGTATTGTCTATGCCTACCTTTGTGCTACACCAGCAGAGTTGAGTAGTTAGAATTGAGGTTATATGGTCTGAAAAGCCTAAACTATTTATTATCTGACCTTTCAGAAATATCACCAAACTCTGTCCTGGATAATGGCTCTACCCAGAGACACCCTTGAGACGTTGAGATTCACCCTACTTTATAGCCATTAGAGGAACCATTACTGATCCTGGCCATGTACCCTGATCCCGCTCAATTATGGGATAGCCACAAAGCCTACCTATCGCCATACAGCAAATGGGAAGATGATAATACTGTGGCCAGTCTTTCATGTATTTCCAGTATGCTTTTTAAAGAGAAGTCTTTTCAGTTACTCTAGCAATCTAGCAATGGCTAGAGGTACATGACTGATAAAACTTGAAAACAACTGGTACAGACTTTATTCATCTTGTCACAGGCACATTTTTCCTTCCTTTCTTATTTTCCACTTCTTGCAATGAGCTATAATCTACTATTATTCACTGTCAAGCAATCAGGCTATCCCTGAGCAGTAGCATGGTGTTCAGCAGGGTCACAAGGATCGCCACAGGGGCTGCTCATCTGGCTTGCCACACTTCCACAGGCAGCAAGCCCAAAATGGGTTCAGACAATGTATTTCTTATACAGAAAAACCAAGATCGATACACTGTCAGAGCCCTGCCTCTTTCGTCCCGTAGGACAACAGGGCAACACTCAGCCAGGAGGTCTAGGTGACAAGTGGCACCCACTATGGGTGGTTCTGCTGCGGAAGAGCTCACTGAAAACTACAAGCAAGCAGTATGACACACTTACACAGGAGTCTGCAGCTGTACTCGAAGGGAGAGAGAAGCGGGAAGCCTATGTTCAGCTGAAATGGGGACCATGAATGAGAAACGACCTAATGACAGTTTCCGGTGAGGTCAGGTGGCAGAGGAGACACTGCTTGGTGGCAGCTACTCACAAGCTGCTTACCCACCCCTGTTTCTCATAGGGGCAGAGGGCCCAGGGGAACAAGCCCACGTGGCACCCTCTCCCAGCCTGTAGCTCCAGGGAGTCATGAACATGGTGCTTGGGCACACTGGCAGATGCTGAACTCTGTGGAGAGGAGAAATGTGATCAAAAGGAACCTGGAAGCGATAGCAGTTGTGTCATTGCCTTCTGGAAGTTCCTTGCCCCCATCGGCAGCAGATGCAAACATAGTAGCCATCACTGCTTCTAGGCCAGTGTCTGACACTCCCCGCCTGCCGCCACGCATCACAAAGTGAAATCTCTGCTTGTCTGCTTGTGTTTCCTCTTTTTTGAAGTACCTTGCAAGTCTCCTCTTTACGTATTAAACGCTTTCTTCAGCTTTTGAACATAAGGGATACAATAATAGCTGTTTTAATGTAATTGCCTTCAATTCCAATGTCTATGTCTTTATTGCTTTTACTCTTCATTATGGAGTGTATTTTCCTGTTTCTTTCCACACCTGATAATTTTTGTCTGGATGCCAGACATGCATGTTTTTACATTGCTAGAGTCTGAATATGTTTGAATTCCTAGAAACACTCTGACGTTCTGATCTGGGACACAGTTAAGGTACTTGAAAACAGTGTGCTCCTTTTGGGGTATTGTTTTTAGGATGCTTTAGGTAAGGCCAGAACAGCATCTAGTCTAGAGGTAATTTTGTCCCACTACTGTAAAAGCAACACCCTTCAGAGTACTTGACCCAATGGCCTTGGAGTATGAGGTTTTCTAGTCTGGCTGTCGGGAAGGTCACCATTCCCCGCCCTGGGTGTTCTGCGTCCTGTCTGCTCCAATTCTTTTAGGTGGCTCTTTCCTGGCATCAGGTAATTTCCTTACAAGTATTTCCTAGGAGGCCACCTGCAGATCTCCAGAGCGCGAGCTCTCTCTCTCTCTCCTCTCTCTCTCTCTCTCTCTCTCTCTCTCTCTCTCTCTCTCTCTCTCTCTCTCTCTCTCTCTCTTCAGGAACTCGTGTACCATGAACTCCAGTCCCTTTCTGCTCCTGAACTTTCAGATTCACCTCTGAAGGGTATATCCAAGGGACCCTGCCTGAGTCGTGGGCTAAAAACTCATAGCAGTAAGATGAGGGATTGTATGCTTCCCATCCCCCAGGGATCACTGTCCTTTATTGACTGATGTCTGTTGAGCTAAAATCGTTGTTTCATATACTTGGCCCTCATTTTTAGTTGTTTTAGATGGAAGAGTAAATACAATCCCTGACAAAAGTCCCATCTTGTCCAGAAGCAAAAGCCCCCTCATTAGCTTTTAACTTCTCATTTCAAAATAATTATGGATTCATAGAATTGCAAAAATACTACACAGTGGTTCTGTGTGCCTTTGCCTCAGTTACTACCAATGATGACATAATTTGTAATAATAGAACCATATCAAAACCAAAACACTGACTTTGGTTTAATCCACTGACTTTATTTGGATGACACCAGTTTTACATACACTGTGTATGTATTTAGTTGTATGTGACTTTATTACATAAGTAGATTTGTGTAATCACCACAGTCAAGGCACAAACTTTCACACACAAACATCTTCCACCACAAAGACCTCTCGTCCCACCCACAGTCACATGCATTCTACGCCCTGCTCCTTAGACCCTGACAACCATGAATCTCCTCTAGATATCTATAATTTTGTCATTTTTAGAATTTTCTATAAGTGGAATCATACAATACGCCATCTTTTGAGACTGGCTCTTTTCACCCAGTGTAATTCCTTTGAGATCCACCCAAACGCTTGTGTGTATCAGTAGTTTGTTCTGGGAGCTTTTTTGTTCTCTGAGATTT